CCGACTGCTTCTTCTCTCCCCGCCCAGGGCTGCTGCTCTCTTTTATATGATATATTATGTATTACATGGTTACAGTTTTTCCCCAATGCCTATTACCTATATTAAATGGTGATTTTCTATCTTTTATATGGTACATTACGTGTGACATGGTTACAGTTTTTCCCCAATGCCTATTACCTATATTAAATGGTGATTTTCTATCTTTTATATGGTACATTACGTGTTACATGGTTACAGTTTTTCCCCAATGCCTATTACCTATATTAAATGGTGATTTTCTACTCTAAACCAATCTGTGAGTGCCAACAACACCAAGAACATGGAGGTGAGGAAGAAGAAAGAGGGAGGAGAGGACAGGCCCAAATCCCAAATCCATCTCAAAACCTCTGACCCCCATGTACAAAACCAAACCCCCCCTGTACAGGACTTAAAACCTCCCTGTACAAGACTCAAAATTTCTTCCTTTTACTTTGTCACTACTTCTGCTATAATATCTAAACTTTTGTGACTTCTTGTTCTTCCTGCAAGGTTGGTAAATCATTCTATGGTTCAAATCCAAAATCACAGCTGTTTCCAGCTGCCTGCCAGGGTCTCAAATGCTTCTGACCGGGGCCTGGAACCTCCAAAAATGTCTGAGGGACATTTTGAGTTCTGACAGGAGAAGAGCAGCACTGGTGGTTTCCCAGCACATGAGAAATTCCGTGCTGCTGTATCTTGGTGACCAGGTCTCGGTGCTTTCAGCTGTCAGCTCAATGCCTTATGTGTCACTCTGCCATTTCTTCTTTCTAGTGAACAAAATCACCACCCAAATGCCAGTACCATCCCAAACCTGTCATGTTTTTAACTTCACCTACTCCCCAGATCTTCGCCCCCATTTCATACCAAAATATCTCCAGCTTTTCCTGAATAACATCCCAGTTATTCAGCTTTCCCTCCTCATTCACTCACTGATCTCTCTCCAAGCTTTCATTATCTTGATAAACATCTCAATTACTATTGGTCTATTTTTATAAATTCAGATTCTCTCTGCTGGATTATTTCCATGTTTTCCTTCCCTTACTGATTCCTCCTTACACACATGTTCCAGGAAAGACCTGGCCTATCCTATGCACTACAGGAATTAAAAATAAATAACAAACCAAACCCCTTAAGAATTGCATTATTGATCAGGTGGCAAAATTGCAGAAAAATAAACACATATGGGGCAAGTAAACGCTGACGCATCTGAGGAGCTTCATCAAGCCTGGGGAAAGCACCAAATGAGATCAGCCAAAGGAAATCCTGATTTCAGCTAAACACAGACAAATGTTGGGTTGTGCAGAGATCAAACACCGGGAGATCAGTGAAATACAGAACAAATGTGCTCTAAGCTCCACTCTGAGCACTGCCACACAAATAAACATCAGTCTTTTATTTTCTAAATACATTCAGAATTGAAGTATGGCTCTACAAGAACTACAAGTTTCGTAGATCAAATCAAAATAATTACAAACTTCACTGTGGCAGGTTTGGGCTACACTGAGGAGGTTATTGGGCACTCAGCCCTATAAATCTCTTGATTATGAATTTTTGCCTGTAGTCAGACCCCCAGACTCTGAAGGGATCTGCCCCACAGATGCTAGCTGAGGTACCATAGATCAAACTATTAAAAGCCTCATAAAAGAAAAACATTGATGTTAATAAGACCCTTTCCACTGATTTGAATGGGCTTTGGACAGAGGCCTATACAAACAAGGACGGAATTAGGAAATGGAAATCTCTTTTTATACACAAAACCTGTGAATTCAACTGTTTGCCTTCCAAGGATGGCCTAGGACCACTTAATTTATGGGGAATTTAAAGGGCAAAGAGGCAGATTGATACTTTCAACTTTTACCTGAATTGACTATTTGCAAATATTGTTTCTAATATTTTGAACAAAAAAATTGCAAACCCACAGGCATCAGTTGAGCTTTTTTCTGCATTAATATTTCACAGACTGCAAATATCTATATTCTGGCCACATTGAGTAATTAGCTGAAATAAATGAAGTGTGTGTCATCTGTTTAGTGCCATGTCCTTGAGACTGCTCTGTTTGACTTCCACTTTGATTCAAAGCTGGAGTTGATCAGGACCAGCTGCTCAGCCAAAGGGCACATCACGCATTCCCATTCCTCCTTCCCCATCCCAGCTCCCAGCCAGGCTATTGTTTGTTACAATTAATTAATCCCACATGTCCTGGCTGCCAGTGAGCCTCACAAACTCCAAATTTCAGTATTTACTGCATGTCCAATAAATTAATTCCACCTCTGGAGAGATGAATAAACACAGTCGTGTACCTATAAGCACAAGACACATTCTTACCCAGCCAGATTTATGGTTATTATTATTATTGATATCTGTTTGACAGCTGCTATTATTATTTCTAGCTGGCCTCCTAACATCCAGATGTGAGTAAATATAGGTATGTATTAGTATTTCAACATCTCTGTGAGAATTATATTGTCAGATCTTCATTCCAAACTGATCCCTGGTGACATGGGGACATGGCATTAAGCATCAGAGTTACTGCCCCGGCAGGACCTTGCCCTTGCCTGCCTCTGGGTGAGGAGAAAAGAGAAATTTTAAATATTATAGCCAGGATTTTTAACACTGCAGCTCAAACTGCCTGACACTTCCTGCTGGAGCTCTCCTGTTTTCACTCCCATCTGTAACAAGTGGTGCCCCTTCTCCTCACTGGGTATCCACCTCAGGGATTATGATGCCTCTTGCAGTTAAAATTGTTCATTTTCATCAATTGTTCATCAGCTGCTCCCAGGGAAATCCACTGAATTTTCCCTGATAAACAAGTCCAGTTTTCTGAGTTGATGTCCATCACCCATGTCCTGGATCAAGGAGTATTTTGGTGGAGGAGATCAGTTGCTTGTTGTACCTCTGGCTGTCTTTTTAAAAGCTCACAGGCTTTGAAACCTCTTATTGCACATGGCTGGTGAAAGCTTGGAAGCTCAGTTGTCTCCAAACAGCCCAGAAGTGCTGTGGAAGGAGGGATTGAGCCATTTCCAGCTGCTTTTGGTGCTGCCCCACGAGCCTCTCCCCCTGTGCTCAGTGCAGCAGGTGGGAACGAGGATGATGCCAGTCTGTAAAGATAAATAAACTTTGCCCTCATGGATTGGATTTTCTTCTCATCACTGTCATGTTTGGAGCAAGTGTGAATCCCCAAGTGCTGGGAAAATTGAGAAAAAGCCAACAGGGAAGGTGAAAGCAGAGGTGAACCACAGAACATCCCACCACAGGATGGACATCTCGATTGTCTCCACCACAATGAGGAATCAAAAACCTAATTACAGAGCTTTAATATCCAAGTGTTTCCCATGGTCATGAATTTGTGGAATGGCTTGGGTTGGAAAGGATCTTAAAGTCCATTCCACTATCCCAGGGTGGTCCAAGCCCCATCCAACATCCCTTGGACACTTCCAGGGATCCAGGGGCAGCCACAGCTTCTCTGGGCACCCTGTGCCAGGGCCTGCCCACCCTCCCAGGGGACAATTCCTTCCCAAAATCCCATCCAACCGTGCCCTCTGGCAGTGCCAGTGCTTCGTCTTTGTCCTGTCGTAATCCACCTGATTCAGTCTGTGGAGGTGGTGGGAAGCAGAGCCTTTTTCTTTAATTTACAAAACAAACAAACAACATATTGGAACAAAAACATTCTCAGAAGATCTCATGCAGACTGCAATGGCCATGGTGAGATAATGAACCTTGAGATGGGCCAGGCAGTGTCATCCCCCTGGGAAGCTGCTGGAGCCCGAGGGGACAGGGACACAGATGTTTTGTGTTTCTGCTCCCCAGACAAGGTGCATCTGCCACCACCCTTGATTCTGCCTGGAGTTACCCTGGCAAGCCACTCTGCCTGCCCCAAAAGTGCTTTTAGAAATGTTAGGTGTTAGAAATTACATTTTTCTTACCACTATTTATTAGTATAAAAGCCCATATTTTTGCTGCACAAATGCAAATTAATTTCTATTAGTGTTAACAATAAATCTCAATTTTTTGTTTTTGCTATCTGCTGGATGTCACTTGACAAAGTTAAAGCCACTCCACAGCCCCTGATCCCTTGTTTTGCTGGAGCGATGGTTCTAAATTACCAGATTTTGTGCCCCAGTCATTAACCTGAAGTTTCCTCCTGAAGTAAAGGGAAGTTCAGCTGTAGGAGAGTGAGATTTGACCCCAAATTGTACAACTCTAAACTTCACGGACCAAACTCACTCCTAAGTATCCCAAAGCAGTAAAGTCAGGGAACACAGAAAGGGATTACTCTTTTGGGGTGGTGCAATTAGGTGTTAATGGGAACAAGTGGGTGGTAAAAGCTGGTCAAGTTTCTGCAAACTTTAGAAAATGGAATTAAGGGTGGCTGTATTATTATAAGGCCTTTTTGTTGCTGTTTAAGTTCTTTACTTAACTGGTCCATAATTAAATTGAGCTTGTTAGGGCTTAGTCTTTTCCATGAAGATCTCTGTTTACATATCTTCCTCTGGAGGGCTTAAAAGTGAAATCTCAGAGAAATTCACAGGTTTAGACGTGAAATTAATTCACAAGCCTGTCTTGGATTAAAGTGACAAGGGATAAGGTGAGATGTCACTATCAATAATCACCTTTTACTACGAAATCTGTCTCTGTTCTTCTGCTTATAGAACAGCAGCTTTCACAGCAAGCCAGTTGCCAAGTGTAATTAAGAATAATTAAGAAGGAAAAGTCCACAGACTAGCCAGGGTACAGCAGAATTACTACATTCCGACTCTTTAACTCTTTCCCTTTCAAGTAAAGAGACTTTCAAAGTATGTAAAAGTTCTGCAGGTCTGTTCTGTGGGATATTAAAATTTAATGTGTTCTCATCATCACCACAACTGCGTTTATTGCTATTATTACCAAGACTGCCATTAACCGGATATTCATTAATGCTAAAAGTCGCAGTCAGCGTGAGATTCAGCAGCCTCCAAACTCTGGAGGAGAAGGTGCAAAGTTACCTGGTGGCGTTTCAAGAACGGGTTTTCCTTTTTTGTTGTTTTTCTTCTGTTTTAACTCCTTCCTGCTCGGTTTGAACCCTGGGCGCTCCTCTGTCTCAGCAGCACGGATAGGTCCTTCCTCTCCGGGCTGCTCCGTGAAAGGAAAGAACTCTTCCCCAGGATATGGAAAGGAGTAATAATGATCCCTGTTGGTGATTTCCTGCAGGTAATAATCCTGCTCGTCCACGGGCACGGCCCGGGACACGTCCCCCAGCAGCGCCAGCCCGAAGGCGCAGAGAGCGAGGCAGGGCCCGGGACGGCCACGGGCGAGCATCGCTGGGCTCCGGGACTTCGTGTGCGCGGAGGGCGGAGAGAGTTTGGGCAGCCGGAGCAGCGCTCGGGAGCGGCGGGGGATGGAGCCGAGCCGGGACCGGGCTGCGGGGAGCGGGCGGGGCGGCACCGCCGGCAGGCGGACACCGGACAGACGGACACGCGGACAGGCGGACAGACACACAGACACACGGACAGACGGGCACTCGGACAGACGGGCACTCGGACAGACGGGCAGACGGGCAGACGAGCACTCGGACACACGGACAGACGGGCAGACGGACAGACGGGCAGACGGGCAGACGAGCACTCGGACACACGGACAGACGGGCAGACGGACAGACACACGGACACACAGACACACGGACAGACGGGCACTCGGGCACTCGGACAGACGGACAGACGGGCACTCGGACAGACGGGCACTCGGACAGATGGGCACTCGGACAGACGGGCAGACGGGCACTCGGACACACGGACAGACGGACAGACGGACACTCGGACACTCGGACAGACGGACACTCGGACACTCGGACAGACGGACAGACGGGCACTCGGAAAGACGGACAGACGGGCACGCGGGCACTCGGACAGACGGAGACTCGGACAGACGGACACACGGACACACAGACACACGGACAGACGGACACTCGCGCACTCGGACACACGGAGACTCGGACACACGGACACACAGACACTCGGGCACTCCCACACTTGGACGCTCGGACACAGACACACGGACACTCGGACACACACACACGGACACACGGACAGACTGACACTCGGACACTCGCACACTCGCCCCGCAGGTGGGATGCCCGCTGCCGCTCTCCTGCCCCGCCGCTCTCGGTGCCGCTCTCTTCTCTCTCTCTCTCTCTCCCTCTCTCTCTCCCTCCCAAGTTTCCCGAGTTCCCGCTCCGTGCCCGGACTCCTCCTGCGCGCAGCTCATCCAAGAGAGCGCAGATTCCAAGGCAAGGCGGCTTGGCAGGCAGCCTTCCTTCCCCTCCCGGCCGCGCCGGAGCGTTTCCCTGCCCCGGGAATGGCCCGGGCGCGCCGGGCAGGGTCATCTCACCCTGGGCACCGGGGACACGGGGATGCGGGACCGCGGCAAATGTTCCTCGCTCCACACAAGTTATTCCCTTTTGTGGTGCCTTCTGTCCCTCTTTTGACTTTTACAAAGTAGGATCCATCTCCAGCAAGCATCGCTCTCCTTTTTCACGCTAGTTTAGCTCCATATGACAACAAAATTTCTGTATAACTTAATAAATCCTGCCTTTTTCACACTAGTTTACATCCGTATGACAACAAAATTTCTGTATAACTTAATAAAAGCCTCCCTTTTTCACACTAGTTTACCTCCATATGACAACAAAATTTCTGTATAACTTAATAAATCCTCCCTTTTTCACACTAGTTTACATCCGTATGACAACAAAATTTCTGTATAACTTAATAAAAGCCTCCCTTTTTCACACTAGTTTACATCCGTATGACAACAAAACTTCTACATAACTTAATAAATCCTCCCTTTTTCACACTAGTTTACATCCATATGACAACAAAATTTCTATATAACTTAATAAATCCTCCCTTTTTCACACTAGTTTACATCCATATGACAACAAAATTTCTATATAACTTAATTTATAGCTCTAAAACTGTATTTTAGTTTATAGATATAACACTATATTTTAGTTTATAATCTAAAACCATATTATATATATATATATAGTTATATTTGTTTATAGTAACTTTTAGTTTACTGTTCAAATAATATCATATGGCTTTAGGTAAATTTATACATTGCAGTAGCTTACTATTGTAGAGCAACTTATAGCAAGTTATCTATAACTTATAGTTATCTATAACTTATAATAAATTATCTATAACTAATACAACTCAACACATATCATGTGCCACGTTCTCCTGGGGTACTTGGCAGCTCCCTGGATTCAGCCCAGGTGACAACCAGGAAGAGGATGGCTCATCTGTGGCCCTTTTTCTCACTCTTTCTTGGGATAATCCTGATATTTGTTCCCCCTGAAACATCTTCCCAGCAGAGGAGGATGTTTTTTGCTACACACACGCAAGCCAGTGTCGTTAATGAAATCAATTTGTCTGAGAGCAAAATCTTATCTTTCATCTTTTTCATACCTCTAAAATAACATTCAGTGCTGAAGGAAATGTGCAACAGTTGGCTCACATGAAATATGAATTCTTACTCCTGTGTTGAAAATACCAGCTTATATTTTCATCATGAATATTGTATTTCTTGCCATGATCCAGTCAGCTGGGAGAAAGCATCACATCTGTTACCCCAGTCTTTATTCTGGCTTTGTGCTCACATTTTTGGTTTGTTTCTCATAATTTTAATACCATAATAAGCATCATTTCATGTCTTGGTACCTGTATCTTTGGATGTATTTGGTTTCCAGGCTGTGGGTGATCCTGCTCCATATATGCAATGATCATCCTTGCTTTCTTAGTTGTTATCCCAAAAGGAATGTAGTGATTATGTTGTGTCTGGTGTCCTGTCTTTTATAAAAATGCAGCTGTACTTTTATCCTTAACTTTTACTTTTGTTTTCCTTTAAATCTGAAAATTATGCAACTTTCTATTTTAAATACAAGAATTTTTGGGTTTTTTTAAGCTAGATTTAAAATTACTTTTTTTTTTCATTGCTTCACTGAATTTTATATATATACATAAATAAACTTTGTTGAAAAGCTGCTTCCCATCAGTGTTTCAGGCCCTTTTATCTGCAATAAATGGCTTTGTCACCTCTGCCTCTGGGAGCAGTGTGGGAGCAGGCTGAATATCCTGGAAATCCCCTCTTAGTGATTTCACAAATATTCTGACTTCATTTTCAGACTTTCCAGAGTCCTCTGCCTCCTTTGTCCTAATTTATGAGGGCAGAGCACAAGCTACAGAAAATGTGTTTAATTTTGCTGCCATTTGCAGCACAGCCAGTCTTCTGAAAGCATTATGAATATTCACATGCCTAGAGAAGTAGTAGAAAAATAAACTTTTCCATGATGTTTCCATAACTAAAGGAGCTTTAGCTGCAGATCATTATTTAACTTGCTGTAGTGTTTAAAGATGGACAGAGAGATGAGTGTTAACGTTTTCAAGCACAAAGAAGCATTTTCACAAAATACAAAGTTGAGTGTGCTTTATTTAAAGACCTGAGGAATGTGATTTGGGGAAATTTTGCCTTCCACTGGGAAGAACTTTACAGGACATGAGACAGCACTAAACCCATTGCTGCTCCTTCTCCAGTCACCACAAATAACTCCCTCTTTTCTCTCTGTCTGCAATTACCCTTCAGAATGATAAATTCAACAATATCTATTCCAGAGTATCAACCTGTACAAATAACCAGCTCCCCTGTATTTCTCTTTTAGGGTTTTAATACTTACCGTGGGTGTGGGTATGGATTCACTGCTTCCCCTTCCACACCCACCTCTCTTTTTGGGATGTGCATGAATTCAGCCAGCTGAGACTACACAAAATCTGTCTCTAGGCACAATTTTGATCTACTTCACCATCAAATGTTTTTACTACCTTTTTATCTGTCAGCATCCTAGAAACAACTTACAGGAAAGGAGGTTTTATTTCTACGAGTGGCACAGAAGTGTTAAGATCACTGAGGGCTCAGATGTTTTGGGCCTAAGGGCTGTTTGTTTTCTTTTGCCTGGGAAATATCACAATACCTTATAAAAACCTGCTGTTGATGTGGAAGGAGATAAAGCAAATTGAGATTTTTGTAGAAAACAACTGTAACTAGCATCACCCTCCCTCCCTGAAATGATGCCAGTGGGAGTGTAGAAGTCATTCCATACTTTGCTTTAAATATTTGTCCTGCTGCAGTGCTGGGGTCTGCAGATGAGTGGGCTTTCCCCCTCTGTTCCCAAGAAGGATTTCTTTGGAAGATGATGGTTTGCTCGCTAAACTGGGCTCATTTCAACAACGTTTCTGGAAAAAGAAGCACTCCCAACTCTTCCTTGGCCCTTCCAGGGGAGGTTTAGGGTGGATATTAGGGGAGGTTTCATCATGGAAAAGGTGATCAAGCATTGGAGCTGCCCAGAGCAGTGGTGGGGTTCCCATCCCTGGAATGATTTAAAAGCTTTGTGGATGTGGCACTGGGGGACATGGGTGGGACTAGCAGGTTAATGGACGGACTTAATGATGGTAGAGATCTTTTCCAACCTAAATGACCCAGGAAAATGCAGTTTCAGAAATGCTTTTCACTGAGGAGAAAGTAAAGTTGTACCTGTTAGCACAGTTCTTGCTGAGGATCTTAATTTGTATTTATACCCCACAATCGATGACCACACATTTAGGTTTAACTCAAACAGCTCAGTGACTTCTGCAACTTCTCCTGCAATTGGAAAATCATTTTTCAGTTGGAGCAAAGCTTCATGGTTG